ATGGGGAGACGGAGCAGAGAAAGGTGGGGAGGCGAGATGGCGCACGGCAGGAGAGATAGAATAGCATGCGGTGGGAAGGCGGAACGGCCAACGAGGGGGACGGATGGTGCACGACTGACCTCACCACACGACGCCGAGACGGAGAAGCGCAAGCAGGGGAGGCCTAATTTATCACACGACGGACAGACGGGACGGCATATGGTGGGGGACGTGGGTACGACACCGTTCGGAGACGCGTCGGAGAGGAAGGTGAAACGATCGGCCGCGCCGTGGAGACGACCGACAGACCAGCTTCAACCCAGCGTAGACGGCGGCCAGATCTCCGGCGCGTGCCATGCAGCTGCCGTCACAAAAGGCGACCGCTCCGCCGCTGGAGAAAACCAGAATCAATCCCCGCCTGCTGCTGGCGCATCCTTTATCTCCGACCCATCCCACCCCTACCCCGCTGCCTCGCGGCTTAAGGATGGTTTAGGGGAGAAACAGATGTATGAAAGACAGCTGAACCTGGTTTCAGTTTACAGCTACCGACGCGTGCCTGGTAATTTTAACATTAAAGTACGAACGAGTTGCGCTGATTTCCTCCCCCAGGCAGGTGGAAAACAACCAGCATTTCGTGGACTTGAACAGCAGTGGGCGTCGTGCAAAATTAACGGAACATCCACGGAAACATGCCTGACCATCAGCAAATCATGCCTAACCACTCCGTGCCATGCTCAGCATCTCACGCAAACTAACACTGGGGACCGAGACTCGAGAGGAGGCCACCTGCTCGCACGCGTGGGGTGCATGACTTCACCGATGCATGAGCAAAGGTTTGCGTCGTGCTGGCCCCATCACTCAGCCATCCATCAGGTGCAACAAGATCGCTACACCAACACCGCGCCGGAAGTTTGCACAAGTGCTGGCACAGCGCGGCGGCGCGGCGACCCTGCTGGCTCGGCCGCGCTCGCTTGACCGCGACCGCGCCGGCTGCACGGACCGCTGCGCTAACGCCGCTCATAAAACACGGCGCTCGCCGGGGGTCCGGCCGCTCGGAGCGCCGGGCGGCCGCCGTACGTTCGGAGCCAGCGGTGCCAGCGCTGTTGCCGTCACCCGGCCAACCTGGCGGCGGTCCCGGGCCGCAGGCAGTGCGGAGCAGGGCACCGGCGCCGATTCCTGTTCTGTTGCGAAGGCTCTGGTCCAGTGTTGGTTTGCCCTCACACCCTCGTAATGTTGGTGGTTTGGACCCCAATAGTTTTTGCTTGAATGCTACAGAACTGAAGAAAAAAAAGTATCAGACAGCGCCTGCTTTCTACTGGTGGCATTTCATGGCCATGACTGCTACATTATTCAAGTACAGTGCTTGTTGATAAGTGTTACAAAACTAAGCAGACAACATGTCGCTTGTCACAGAACAGGCGTTCAAAAATCAAATGGTAAGCAAATAAATCCAGCAAGAAAAATAAATTTCGGGGGAGGCTAGGCTGTTCCATCCCACTCCAAAACTCTTGACAAATCGACGCGCCTGGGGCGAGGGGAGGAGGGTCTGGTCCGATGGCCGGCCAGCACTCGGGCTAGGCATAGGCGGGTGACGGCTGGTGGCGCGCGCCGCCGCACGCCAAAAGGCACAACAGACACGCGGAGCCCGCTCCGCCGCGAGGGTACCTGGTAAACATGTCCGTAAATGATAAGAAGCTGCCACTTTGCAAGCTGGTACACTGAAATCGATAATGGCGCCAGCCGGGACAGGAAAGGGGCAGCTGACGAAATGCAGTTTGTCACCTTGGCGCGTGGCCCGATCGAAGACCCCGATATGCGCCTTATCGGTCACGACTCTGACCTCTGCTCACCCACCTCAGGTCACCGGCCTCGGGCGGCGGGTTCGAAGAGCCGCACCCCTGCCCTGCCGCCCATGGGGACGCACCAGCCTCCTACGGCAGCGAGACGCCAGCCTCCCACGGCAGCGAGACGCCAGCCTCCTACGGCAGCGAGACGCCAGCCTCCTACGGCAGCGAGACGCCAGCCTCCCACGGCAGCGAGACACCGGCCTCCTACGGCAGCGAGACGCTTGCTTCCTACGGCAGCGAGACGCCAGCCTCCCACGGCAGCGAGACGCCAGCCTCCTACGGCAGCGAGACGCTTGCTTCCTACGGCAGCGAGACGCCAGCCTCCCACGGCAGCGAGACGCCCGCCTCCCACGGCAGCGAGACGCCAGCCTCCTACGGCAGCGAGACGCCGGCCTCCTACGGCAGCGAGACACCGGCCTCCTACGGCAGCGAGACGCCAGCCTCCTACGGCAGCAAAAACTAGCGGCGACCATAGCTGTGTATGTGGTTTCGGATGTATGTCTGGCCATAGGGAGCTCGCTCGGCCGAGTTGCTTAATGACACCCACACCTCCCGGTCCAGGATGACCGTTTCCGACCCCCGACCCCTGCCGCACAGCCGACCTCGGCAGCGGCGGCCGATTCGGCCAATCAGCGGCGCCGGCCGGCCGGTGGTGGGCTCACACCGGCGCAGCGGGAGGGTTCAGGGCCGCCGACGGCCGAGCACGCCGGGTACCGACGCCGGCGGTGTTCTGAAGGTGATCACTGGTGAGCGAAGATGTGGTGTCTGCTCTGTCTTCTGGTGAGGGAGGGGAGCAAATGAGACGTGACCTCAGTAGGCATTCGTGGATACACGGCCGCAGAACAGCAAACCACTTTGAAACCGCGGAATTTTGCTGCAACGGTAACGTTTTGATGCGTTTATTGTTGATTCCTTTATATACTGAAACTCTTAAACCCATGTTTCTATCCATTTTGCACGCAGAATGTTTTAAGTGCTAGTATATGTACCTAATGCAATGAAACCTACTTGAATGTGTGTAACGGCCGCCAAAGACGGGGTGATGTGGCATTGCCTTGCGCCATGCCTCAAGACATCGCGGCGCTATCCCAGAAATACCGATTATTCTGTTCCTTTTGTTTTCCAGCGTATTATCGCGTGCATCTGTCTGCAGCGGACAGCACGCATGGTATACAGGTGCAAGAACCATAACAGCTGCTGGCCGAAGACTTTACAGTCACCATTTGGCTGATCCTGCGCTCCTGACTCATCACAATCCTGACTTGGAATCGGGCCAAGTCGTCATTGTAATGACGAATGTTACAATCTCTTCGTCGATTTAAACTGACGAAAAGACGCCCAGTGACGACAGACACTCGATGTCCGTATGGTTACGGGGTGAGTGGCAGCCCAGCATTCATGCTGGAGCACAGGCCCCTGTTCTTCGTTAATTCAGCGCATGCGTAAGGTTAACCAAGGATGTCGCAGGCAAGTGTCAATGACGTCGCAAGCCGTAGATGAGGGACTGCTCTCAAAAGAGTGCAGTCGCTCATCTACGGCTTGCGTGCCATCAACAACTACCTGTGACGCCATTGTTTACAATCATAGGAAGGACTGGTAGGAGAGTTGCAAAGCATTGCATAGGAACCATTGTGACCTACTTATGTG